GGGAGGACGGCCTCAAACTATCAAACACCTGGGATCCCATATTAAAAACTCTGGATCCCAATAAACAGCATACCAGCAAACGCGAAGACACCGTTAGTCAATTCTGTAAGGACCCGGCCAGTTTCGCCAAATACCAACTTCGACGGAACAGATGGCGCTAGCGTAGCAATTCTTTACTTTGACGTCTGAGACATCCTCCATCTTTAGTCTCCCCGTGACCACGGCTGCTGCAAAGCATCCGAAACGTCGGGCCGAAGTTAAAAATCATTTTCAAATAAGTTTAACTAATATATCGCGTTTTAAACCGTTAAAGTGTTTTATTTAAATGTGTACTACTCGCGTAAACTATAGACAGTATTTTTTTACAAGTGTACATGCGCCGAAGTTAGTCTAACCTCTGTTCAGTGCTGTCAAATTACATCGGCCGTATTATAAGTTGTGAGGGTAATAAAATGTATCTATCATTATTGTACGTTGATGTATCTATGGATAAATATTTATATAACAAAATCTTCGTAGTCTCCTGCTAGATAAGATCGCGATCCATGTTGTGTAACCTCGAGTGATATTATCTCGTAAATATCAGTTAAAAGTCAATAAATAACTCTTAACCTGCTCCCGCAGCGGGCTTTGGTGCATCTTTTAATGAAGATTGATTGCAACGACATCTCCGACTTGATTTAAAATAACAAACATCTTAAATTTGATACATAATACAATAAGAAATAAGTTAGTCGCAGTTGCTTTATCAACATTTAAATTTCCTATATAACTTTCATACGCAACGCTAGACTAAAAAAAAATGTAATTATGTTGAATCTGGAAATTACTCTTGGTGTTAATTATTAACCCTTTATGTGCAAGAAGAACAAACCGCTTATCACTTTTTGTTCCTACAAAGGACAACCATAGTTTCTGAACTTCAAACATCCTCGTTTCCTGTCCACCTGGCAACTTAAGCACGTGCGCGCAGCGTTTAAACTTTTTGCTGTTCTATTTTTAAATTTAAAACAAGCTTAGCCCGCGGTTTGTTCCAAATTATATTTAACGTGACTACAAAACAATTTGAAATATAATCTTGTATTGTATATATTATAGTGAGCATTAATATCTTTTCAAATGATTTTCCTATATTTTAGATGGCATTACAATGGCATTACATGCTTAGACAAAACGAAGAATTGTACAAAGCATGAATTTTTATTTAAGAAACAAATAAAATCGCAAGGTACAAGCCTCAAATCAATGCGGTTTCCCATGAGAAAGAAAGGCTCTGCACATCTGGTTATAAACAGGAGGCTTTAGAGTCTCAGTCTACACCAGGTGGTATTGAGAACAGCTGGATGTTATATTTATATACAAAAAATAGTTTAATGATACGTTTTCAATCTAATTTTAAAACTAGATAAGAACTTGTAGCTTCTATTAAAGCCCTCCTTAATTGTTCCTCCCACCCCAGACAAATAATTATTCGTGTATCGATGTCTATTTATAGAGGAGAATGAGTTATTTTAGACGGTTCTAAGACTGTTTTATCTTTTAGTAGGTTGTTTTTTTTTTTTTATCGTTCAAGTGGATTTAACTAAAATAATTCTAGTAATTTAATACTTATTTATTATCAATTCGTGTGAAAACCAGTTTCCCTATCGATTCTTATATACAGTTTATATACGCGTTGATTGAAAATATTTTTCAACAATTTTTGAACCCTGGAATCCATCTCTGAATTTATACAATCATTCCACCTAAATTGCTTATTAAGTTTATTTAAGTTGAAACGTTATTTACAAATTTTTAATAATTATTCCTCAGAGGGAACACAAAAAACGGACGGTTTAACGCGCCCTTTTTATTGCATCGGACTTTGATTACAAAATCATGATTTTGGCTAAAGGAAATCTTAATATAGGTATTACATAAAACGATAAAGGTTTTCATTAAGCAGAAAGCATTTCCGATTTAGATGAAAAGATAGGAAATGTCGCTACTATCAAATGATTAGGAACAGTCGAATCCCGCCGGACGCACAAATTAAACCCTTTCTATGTTAAAAGATGCCCTATTATTAATGGCGTAAGGTCGACATAATTTCCTATTTCTTAATTTCCTGCCGTCACACCTCATTCGTCCAATTTAGGGCGTCCTGTCTAAGTTTATAAAAATATACTAAAGCGAATGTGAATACTATATACACGAGTGAATATAAAAATACCTCCAGCCCATAATAATTATTAAATATTTAATATGTTTTAACGCTATTGTGTGAAATGTCATTAATATAAGATTATTATTCAACGAGCACCTATATTTTTCTTTATGACGTGTAATTGTTTTTTTACAGTGTTGTAACCTAAAAAGTAATTCAATTAATTATTAACATTCATCATTAGGTAATTTATTAGTTTATAAGCGCCATCTGTTGAAAATTAAGTGTACCTCAAGAAGCATAATACATTTATCATCAAAATGTATTTAAATATTTTATTAACATAAGGATGATAATATGATTTTGATAAAAAAATAGATCTTAGGAACTATATTCCGTCTTATATAATATATAGTAGCAGCGGTAAAATGTTTCTTTTCAGTTAAGTTTTATTTTAGTTTTGAAATATTTCACTAGATGGCAGTAATCAACATTTCATGCGTATAATGTAGCTATATGCAGTAAAAAAATATTTTATTATACAAAAAAACACACAACATAACGAAGTATTACTTTTTATCATACGGTTTTGTATTAATAATCTTAATTTAGATAGAGACATTAAAACTTTGAAAGGGCGAAGTTTTTGTAAAACCACATTCCAACGTCGTCCGGTGGCTCTTTTTCTATTTCCTACCAAGTTCACGAATAATGACCACTTTTACCGGCGCATGCGCTTTCTTCATTACCATACTCAGTTATGATTACTGAGAATGTGTTTTCTTTTAAACCAATTATACGGGATAATGAGTTATCCGAAGGGAAAATATCGTGTATAAAAATGTCCTAAGATTAGTTTTATATCTTATAAATTTTTTTTCGATTACAATTTCCTGAAATGAAATGTTTATGAAATACCATATTGATATTTGGTTAAGAGTATTACAGTATGTTTAACGAAGTAAAATAATCGTTAACATACCAACAAACAAAAAATACTTTATTCTCACCACAATGTTACTGAACTTATATTAATGTAAAAATCCAAAATTTTGCGGGAAAGGGCGTTTTTTTCCCCCAACTTAATACCTTTTAATGTTATTATAAAATTTCATGCCGAACAATATAGATATATGTTGTGATATGTTTTCGAAAGAAAAAAAACAGTTGTTATATATTAGTTTACGACCATATTTTTTACACCAAAAAATTTGCAAAAATGATCCGAATCGAACTACAAAATTAGACGCACTACGCAATTAGATTAATTTGAACATGCATGTAACAAATACATAAGAAGTTTATGACCTATTAGTTTTAATGGATATTCTTTTAATAGAATTGTGGGAATTCTGCTCATATGAAGTATTGAAAAATATTTCAGGCGTTATTATAGGTACAGACAACTCGCTCTTGTCTGGTTTTTGTAAGTAAATTCTTTCGTAAAAATTGCAATTACCCTTCGTAACTTATTGAAGTACGCGAGGCTTCCTTCAGGAACAATAGGAAATGGCAGGTGCTGCGCCAAGCCCTCAGGACTTCCGCAGTGACTTAGTCGCAGCCCTTACGTAAATTTGAAACCCTATGCGCAGTAGTGAAATAGTCGGCGCTTGCGCCGCACGTAATCGAAAACATGAGTGCGCCCGTGCCCGCCCCTAGAATGCGTTTGGCTTTTCACCCGGATAACATTCATGTGAGTTTAAAAGTGGATAATTTTTTTTTGACGTATTGAATCTAATTTGAATCCTATAAAATATTTTTTCGTGCTTACGCCATCTTCATAGATATTATTAAGGGAATAAAATGTGATTGGTGGAAAATAGTACAATTATTTGCAAAAAAGGCGTAGAAAACAATATCAAATATAAAATAATTTTAAAATTTAATGTTACGTGCGCAAGCGCAGACCTTCGCGCGTGGGAACCTGATTTTCTGCAATCTTTGCATTCTGTTGCGTTGAGTAATAACATCATATTTTTTAGGTTTTAGGCACAAATTGATCTTAGTATACAACTTTTATTATTGTTTACTTGTTTTTTTAAGAATCACGACTTAAATTGAAATATAATAACATTTTCTATATGAAGAACTTTTTTATAATATGATGTTATGTGAGACATAGGGTTTTTTGCTGTATGTGGTTTATTCCTCGCGTGTCTGCAGGAAGTAGGTACTTACTAGGTACGTACCGGTGTTGTGCATGACGTATCGAGGGCATATAAAATGCAAATAAGTCACTAATTTAAATAAAACACTTTAATTACTTTATTAGTTAAACTTATTTGAAAATGACTTTTAACTTCGGCCCGACAGACAGTATTTAAGTCACTAATCACAAAAACATGATTAATAGTTAACTATTTTATATCTTGCACGTTGATGCACGATCCTAGCTTATGTAAGGATCTTTATAATTAATATTATTAAAAAAGATTTGTCAATAAATAAGTGTATTAACTAAAAAACGTAGTCACGAATAATTTTGGGCAAGTTAGTTGTAATTTTAGTCAAGGCATAGTATTAACTATACGGCCTCGTTGGTGTAATCGCAAGGTGTGGCTAAGTTGTCAACCGTTCGTAGGTTCGATTTCCACCAAGTCCAACATTTTTCCAACCAATGTATAATTTTTCTGATAGCCAGATATTGAAGTTCCTTCCGGGTTACGACCACCGTCCAGACGAAAAAGCCGTCTTAAATCGCGTTTCGGTTATTTCGGATTTCTGAATATCCAACAAATAGGTCACCTGACATTAAGTGTACACCATACATGTCTGTTCTCTTCTATCATAAAAGCCGACAAGATGTTTTTAAAACATACATATAAATTATTATATTTTAAATATTTCATTGCAGACAACAATAAAAGTGTACGCTCGCTGCCTTCGCCCGGACATCGAATACAAGACCCTATCAGTGACCTGGGGTACAAGAGCAAAGGAGGTGGTTTCGACCCTCCTGGGAAAGTTCCGTATGAGACACAGGGACCCACGTCTCTTCTACCTGAGCATGGAAGTCAGGGTGCGGGCAGCTGGTCTCCGGACAACGTTGGTTCTCGATGATGATGCAAGACCGGCGGCATTACAAGCTTGCCATCCCAAAGGATATTCTAAGTAAGTCTATTTAAAACGTTACATAACCTGTTATCATGTGATATAAGCAATAAGATTTTTATACAAATAATACTGTTGAGTTAAATCTTTTTGAAATGTTCAGATTATTGCTTACACGATATATAAGATTATAATAGAAGATGTATAAATTGGTGCAGGACACTAAATTAAAATACCTACCGTTATTTGAAAGTATTACTACAGTAGGTAGGGTTTGGGACAAAAACCTTTCCGAGTATGCTTCACTAATTTAACATACAGGCAACTTGACATGATTTCTGTGCCCTGTTGTGATACTGTTTTTGCATTTAGAATCCCATTATGCAATGTATGAAGATAAAGAGCAATTAAAATAAAACAAATGGTTTAAAACGCGCAATATATTAGTTAAAACTTGGTTTCATTATTTTAAAAACAGCCCGACGTTTCAAATGGTTTACAGCAGCCATGGTCACGACGAGTCTCCTCGTGTCTGCTTCTACTATACTTCATTTAAATGTGTACTACTCGCGTAAACTACAGATGATATGAGAGTCATAAGTAATTGATGAAATATCTTTCATTTCAATTTGGGTTAAATCGTGAGTCGAGTTAATTTCTACTCTAAAGTCATAACGGGGTAGATACATGTAGGTAGTAATATCTAGGTCTTAAATTTAGGACTAGGTAATAGGGCAATAATTATTTGTCTCGGGTCACAAATACAAACGAAAAGTTTATCTGTTTTGTGATAATTTTGTGAGTATTGTTTACGATAGTGTAAATTAGGACAATATTCTATAATGTTCTATTATACTGTGATCAAGAACAAAACCGCAGGGCCCGGGAAGGGCTGATTTTTTTATGCGATCACCGATCCATTTCAACACGCTTGACAAAACTTTACCGCTACTCAACAATTCAGTGGACTGTTGAATTTATTGCGTTTTTTTTGTTGTTGTAGTATATCTATGAAACTAGCTGTGCCCGCGACTTCGCGCGGAATACTCCTATTGATTATTCAAATGTATTTTTGCAAATAACCTTGTCTGTTGTTTATGCGCTGTCGACCAATATAGTCTTTGGATATTCAGAAATCCACAGAATCCACATTCTCCCCGTCCTCACAACTTTCGCGTTTACATTAGGATAGAACGGCTAGCAATGTCCCGTGGACTGTGGCTCAAAAAAGAACAGCTTTTGTCCCCTTTCCGGTGCTATTCTTGGCTCGTAAACACGCCAGCAATAAACTTTTAAAATCCCGAAGCCCTTTGACCATATGGACTGTGTTGTTTTGTTGACGGCATTTTTACTAATTCAATTGTGTGTTGCTAAAACCGCCATATTACATTATTTGCAATGTAAGTACTATTCATAAGGTATCATACCGTAAATTGAACAATCTACACTACACACTACTATATGATTATTTAATGTTTTATGTTACATTTAATTTACCTGTCTGTAGTTTACGCAATCAGTACACATTTAAATGAAACACTTCAATGGATTAGTCTCCCCGTGACCACGGCTGCTGCAAAGCATCCGAAACGTCGGGCCGTAGTTAAAAATAATTTGCAAACAAGTTTAACTAAAACATATCGCGTTTAAACCGTTAAAGTGTTTTTTTTTATTTAATTAACCTAATTTATTTCCTTATACACTCCTGTGAGGGTGTTAACTTAGTAACTTAATCAATATTACATTTAGATTAATAGATAATCTTAACGTCTTCGTTTTTTACTTAGGTATACGTTAGTTACGATTTTATAATCGTCTTTACAATTTGGTCGTTAGTGGTGGTTAGTAAAATCGATTTTGAAATTTTGAATTGATAATTTTCTCTAAAAATGTCACCTGTAAAATAAGTTACTTCCCACTAAATTTTTATCAGCATATTTAATGCGTAGACTTGGAAGACCTGGTATTGTAGAATGAAGTCTTTACCTACCCAGGGTTATCTTGTTTTTCTTGATATTTTAATAAGTCTATAAGCAGCGCTCGATTACATCCGCGCACAACATATAATATCAAAGATATTTGCATTATAATTATATTAATGCAATAGCTATGACTAATGCATTTACGAATATCCGATTCATTTAAATATCCTTTTTTATAGGTTTATTGCAAAATATTTATGCATAAATCAAAATGTTCACAATTCAACGAAGGGGTTATTTTTATATGTAACTCTAGAGCAACAGCACGGAAAGCTGACGATGCCGGTTCAAGTCCTGCCCGAGTCGAAATTTTTTTCAATTTATTTTCGATTTTTAAATTATGTAACTCTAGTTTACGCAAATGGTAAACATTTAAATATACCACCTAACAGTTTAAAACACGAAACTACGGTCTGAAGTTTCGGTTGCTTTCGTCGTGGTCACGGGGTATATATATGTATGTTTGTTCAGTTCTCTTAACGCAGCTTTTTATCTTAAAGTATCATAAATTATGATAACATTTTTTTTTTTCTTTTAATTTATCAGCTTACTAGTTTTAATCACTGCACCATTCGTGTGATCTTCAAGGAGCACTTTGCGCGTTTATCGAAAACACGAATCAAGTGTATCTATTACTCAAGCAATTATGCTCTTCAAGCTGGAGTTATTTTTGAATCACCGCAACTACGAAGTACCCAAAGATCATTCACGTTACTTCTCGTTTCTTCCTATTAATAATGATTATGATGATTGAAATATCGCCTCCGTGTCTTAATACGTATTTGTCTTATAAGTCTTAACCGCGAGAAGGTTACTTGTGTTCGAATCAAGTATAATAAATATTCAGTCGGCCAAGGCACAGGACTTGATAAATTAAATTTACTAGCGAATCGGAAACACTGAATAATTATTTTTGTGTCGGTAGACTATTTAACTCAAACCAATACTATTTAGATGTGCTGTTGACTAATAGGAGCGAAGAAAAGTGGGAAATGTGGAAAATTATTAATCTTTGTGATTTTTCTATTCGTACTCTGGCTCTCGATTTAAAATACCCAAAAATATTTGTGAAAGAGTGATTACTCTTTAAAAGAACTAAAATATGTCGACATTTGTTTACCGGTTTTAACATAATTGCAAGAACGTCGGGACGCGACCGAGGTCGTGGGTAACAGTTTAATTTACGCGGACGAAGTCGATGTCACAGATACTTTCTTAATATATATTATAGGGTTGTTTTTTTCTTAATATATATTGTGGGATTATTATTCCCATATCAGTTAATAATCATATGGATAAAATTCATAGTTGTTACGAGTGTTTAGATGAATAAAAGCTTACTTGGAAAATATATTAAAATATAACCTTTACTCTTTTCAGATTTTCTCTACAAATGCGCCCTGGGGGCTTAGTGAAAATCTACGACTCGGCTCTCATGTCTTCCTCACAGTATAAATGTCTACTTACAAGCGAAAGAACTACAGCCGACGAGCTACTAGCGATCTTGTTGCATTGCTATGACTCCAACGAAGGTGTGGAGAGATTCTCCCTCTATGAGGTACGACATATGATTTCTTATATATAACAAAGATGCGCTATCGGCCTATTTTGGCTTTGGACTACGGAAATGCACAGACTTATAAACCAAATCGTAGATTTGCGCTCTTACATCTGTAGAGGGTAGTTAGTGATTCGTACAGAATTTTAATATGCCTGTCATCGATTCCAATTAATATCGACCGCCTCTGTGCCAGATGGTTGAACGTATTGCCTGGCATTGCGTTAAGCGCGAGAGGTCCTGGGTTCTAATCCCAGGGAAACAAACAATTGTTTCGGTCAGGCGGGGTACAGAAGGCTGATCCACTACTTGCCCGTTAAAAGGACGGATTAGTGAAACGGACAGAGAAATGTGTTCGCCCCACGCCCCACGAGGGGGAAACGGGCTTTCACACAGTTAATATCGAAATGTTACAGACAGAGTTGTAAAGATTTTAAAAATTTAAATTTATTTAGAACATGTTGAACCCTGTGGAATTCGAACCCACGATCGGTTCATGATTAGATATATCTAGCTACTATTGCACCGACAAGCCTGACCAAAACAAAAAAAATATATATATTGCTTGTTTCGCTATATGAGGTACATATTTTTTAAACTTTTTTACTTATCATTCTTGCTTCAATCCCCCAATTAGCTTTTTATTATATTCTAAAAGTCTAGAAATTTACTTCAGAAAGATATCAAAATTGTCACTCCTCTCCTGCGTTTTTCAGGTTTGTCCTTCTCAAGAATACGAACGAAAACTACACCCAGACGACCTTCCACTTCTTGTGCAGCGCTCCTGGCCTTCAGACAACGACTGCCACTTCAGAGTGAGAAGAAATCCTCGTGCTCCTCCTTTACCCCCTCGTTCTATCCCTATCCAGCCACCAGAAAGCCAAGATGACGAGCCCTCACGAGCTCTATCTGCTCTTTCTCTAGAGTCAGACAGCGATAATCGAAGATACAGTCCTGTTTACAAGTTTCCAAGCATAAGCTATTGTAGAGAAACGAAAAACGACTATTTATATATCTGACTAGCGTTAAGCACGATTCGTGTGCATCGCTTCTTGCGAAGGAAAGCAAAGACTTTGATACGTGTAGATATGTGAAGTGTAAATATTGAGAAGGACACGTGAACCAAAGAGAAAAAATATTCTGCGTTAATTAATATGAAATTCGAATGTGAAAACTATTTATTGAAGCCAATAAGATCAGTTCAAATGTAACACAGTTACCTCTTCCTAAAGTTTCATTATCTGTTAAAAATCTTACCTAGCTTCCTTTCATATTTTTTAAAGTTAAATAAATAAATTATTGGATTAGAAATCCTATCTATACATTTGAATTGTTATGTGCTTCTAGTGGAATATTGATTTGGCAGTAACTATTTGTATATTGTAAATAAAAATAAACGTAAGTAGCTAGTAGACACCAAAGAGGCAAGAAAGAAAATGTTTTATTATGTAATGTGATGTTTATTTATTTATATGGACTACGTCCTTTATCAGTGAATTTAACAATATGCTTGTAATAAGAATTAAATCTTGTTTTTAAAACAGCGAGTTATTTTATTGGAAAGACAGCCGAAAATGTGTAGTTTTGTCTAATACGTGATGAAATATGAAATGTATAAATAGACAGAATATTTTTTTAATTTTTTTAATCTTTATCTTAATCGTAACATATAAAGTGGGTACTTTATAAGTTACGATTAAGTCTCAAAAACCTGCCACCAGTATAATAAATTGCGAAGAGGTCAGGTCATGCCAGGTCAGGTGTTACGACTTTACATACAAAAGAATAATAATAAAAAAGATTATATAATTACACAGTTATTGTTGCTGTCTGAATAATTGTATATACATATTTGTTGGAAGATCGATATATTATTGCGGGACGTCAACTGACAGATCGAAATGGTCATTATTACGGAACGTCAACTAACATATCGGAAATGTGATTAGTACGGGACCTCAACTGACAGATCGGAAAGATCATTAGTACAAGATGTCAACTGACATATCGGGAAGGTTATCGGACAGCAAAAGGTAGAGTGAAGTTAGCGGGTTTCGACTGAGTCTAGCCTACTTCAGACATATTTATAAATTTAGAACAAAACAAAAATATCAAGATAAAATTTGGTTTTATCAATAAATTTTGCCTTAATAATGAAAACGGTTGATATAAAGTATTTTATTTACAAATGATTGCAACAATGAAGTACAGACGATGCATTATAATTACAAGAGTATGTTCCAAAAATCGGTTTTAGAATTACATATTATAATATCTAACGGTACTAGAATTACATTCAGTATTTTACAAAGACGTTATTCGTACCGTCAGTGAAGCCGTCATAGAAAAACAAGAAACACGATCAACATGGGTGCAAACAAGTCAATAACTTTTAAACATATAGGTACGGAAGTATAACTTTCTCTTCTTTTTGGACGAGAAGAAGGAACCTCCAAAGGTCTATAACGACTTCACATTACCTCTTCATCACGACACATTTTCACGAAACCGAAGCCAAGGAAGCAAACTTGCCCCTGTCAGCAATAAGGCAATATTTTATTAATTATACCTCAATTTTTACAATGACAAATTCAACACAATGTATGGAACAGTAATTGGTCCATATTATTTCATACAACAAATAAATATAACGGAGATTATAAATGAAATACAATTATCTTATTATATTCAAATATACTTATAACAATATGAACAATTTTATAAAATTATATTTCATTTCAAACCAAATTATTTCCTTCACGATTCACTCAATATCTAATTCGTCTCTTTCTTGCTTTAATGAAATAAATAATTTTCGTATAACAGCAACTTAAAAAGGATAATTTAAAATATACTCATAGAACAAAGTACTACATTTTTTACTAGAAATAGAATAGAATAGAAATTTTTGGAAATGAACTTTCATTCATACCATCGTCGAAGCGTGCCACTAAAGCTCAGTTATTTGAAACAGAGTCCTTAACCGCGACAACGAATGCTAAAATATTCTTAATAAATACACAAAATCGCAAAAGAACCGGTCTGTAAGCACCATGTGCGATCTCCGCACTGCATCTCACCTCAAAAGTCTATCGAATTGATGGAAACTTTATTTTCCCCCACAACCGGCACCAGCCCTATCTATATTTACAATTTAATTAATAATATCATCGATGAAAGTGCATAAGTGTATCGACGTAAAATTGATTCGTAGCTCGATGAGTTGCAAGGATATCGGTGCTTTTAGGCGGGTACTAAGAGATGAGAGTGGCCAAGCGGTCTAAAACAATAATCTTTCGAATGACCGGCGCGATACACCTGCGCTTCATGTCGACCGCACGCCTCGCGAAATCCACGAAGCAGTTCCTTTGCTGAGTAGGTGCGATTCGATGCGGAGACACGAGGCAGAGGCTAGAGGGCGTTAAGGGCCCGTCTCGAAGGCCCGTAATCTTCGGGCGGGTCACGTTCGCGCGTCCGGGCGCTTCTCTCCTCCCGGGGATAACCCTCGCGGGCGTAATCTCTGCCGTAGTCACGTGTGTAGTCGTGGCCATACGCCTCCTCTCCCCTGTAATCGTGTGAATAACCCTCGTGGTACTCCCGCGGGTAGTCGCGTGGGTACCGGTGATACTGCTCCCTTGGATAGTATTCTTCTTCTAAGCGCTCTGGGCGCGCCGCCCGCGATCGTGCACCTAAGAGTTAAAGTACTATTTTAGTGAATTAATCAACGAGAACTCTGGAAATGTTAGTGGAAGAAAACTTGTTTTGCCAACTTAAGGTGTGGTCTTTAATATTTGTGACTTTTTGAAAATTGGCAAAACTAGAACACAGCTTAGTAACACGGCACACAAGGGCTGGATGGGGGCGTGGTGCACTCACACTTGCACGCACTTACGAGGCCCTATTAAGTTACTGAGGGCAACTTGACCTCCCCGACATTGCGCACTTTGCCCGGACATGGAACCACGCCAGCAGCTGGTGTCGGAGATGGTGTCGCTGCAAACCGAGACACCTAGTGAAACCTTTGACAACACTTAGGCACACTGTTAAATGTTGTTACGATTTTTGATCTTAACCTTCTACATTCTCATAATGTCATAACTTGAGATATATGCTTAGAATTAGTATGTTTTTCGAAGAACAAAATTATTTTTTGAGTCTATTAAAATTGGTTCGATAAACAGGGAATAGTAAGAAAGGTAAGTTCAAAGATCTCGCAGAGCACATCTTTTGTAATGAAAGCGTCGAAGTTACAGACACCAAAGAACAAAGTGCACGTGGGCCCTATAAAATGAACTCAGCCTTAGAAAGCTACATGTTGGTTAGTGAGTTGCAACAAGCAAAACATTGGAACCAAAAATGATTCAACCTGGACAGGAGTTCGTAGACAGGATATAATGGTCTTCTGCGATGCTAATGCGCTTGCCCAGATGCTTGTACTGAAAGGAACAGGAACTAATGAAATGAAACTATAACACTATGATATGAAGACTAGTCTAGAAGCGCCGATCTACAATGAAACACCAGACAAGCTGCACGACTGGTCTACTGCGTGATGCGGAGGTGCGTTGGCAACATCGATTCACAATACTTATAGCGGCTAGAATGATAACTTAGGTATATAGTTTAGCGATATGACCTTTAAATATTCTCATGCAATAAACAATACTTTCCTACATTACTATATTTATATTTAAACATTGCTATAGTTTATATTGTTAACAGTGATATTTGGAGTGGCTTAGTAGAAAAGATCCAATTTTCTATTATTACCTATAGCCGTTGTCTGCCGTGATAGGAAAACTTTAGGCCCTTTTATATTCGATACAAATCTCTAATTGGTTCACCCTTTAGCTTCATACACATTAAAAGCACGTAAATTTAAATTTATTTGAATACCATAATAAAAATAGACATAGTATCATGTTTAGGAATAAATTGATACATTCCTTTAGCTTCATATGCCACATATAAATAGTGTATTTTCAAAATAAATATTCCTAATGATGATACTATATTAAAGGTTAGTTACCTCTCTCCCTTTCGTAATTGTACGAGTCTGACCTCTCCCGGTGTCCTCCCGAGTGAGCAGGGGGTTCAATACGTAATACAAAGTTTGTTAGTTGGTTTGTTCATGTTTACATTAACGATACAGACGGTAGATAAATTTCACTGGTCTTCTTAAACAGTGGACTGCTATACAAGATGTCGTCAGGCTTATCACATTAATTTGGTCTAATAGGTACCATAGATGAAAAATTTCATTAAGATCAGCAGAGTAGTTTAGGTACAAGAACTCCTTCATTATTAAGAAAAAATATCAGATTATTGCCATTTTCAAACAAATGTGGTAATATTCTAAATAGACTCTTGTGCTATTTATTTTGTTTGAATGAAATTAGTGCTTTCAATTTGATCGACTTTTTATTAAATACTATATTACAATGAGTATAATACACATTTAACGAACAAATGTGACAAATCTGTACTGTGTAATAAAAGCTACTTTAGACACGGCAACAGAAATTTAATACATTACTTCTAATGGTTTTTAACGATTACTATTGTATATGTCTCGTTAATTAAAGAAAACTTTATAACATCTTAAGATTTATGGGACCGGTGAAATTTATCAACCTTTATAATTTTTGTTCAGGTATAATTCTTCTATGTTATATTTAATTTTAAATGTATTAACTAGACCTTGTTTACGAATTTTGTATAAAGGGCGAAAATTTTAAAGTAATAAACATCTATTAGTACGAGCAGACTACGAGACGACATTCAATATTACATCTGTTGGTACCTGAGTACATTTGTGAGTGCCTTTGACCACGGCCGGTGTAACCTGACCAAAGCAGTCACATATTCATATAAATTATGAAATTATTTTTCCGACCAAAGCGCTTACTTTAATGTATGTCATATTATAAATATCTATAACCCTCGTTTGAACAAACAGTACCCATGAAAAACATGCCATGACGTAAAAATGGGGTTATTTTCTATGTTTAGATGATAAAGGTTACCTACCAGGTTGGGCGTGGGGGGTAGCAGCATGAGAGACATGCGCTGCTGGACGGGGCGCAGCAGGTGCGATTGGCGGATGTGTTGCTTTCCAATATTCCTGTAAATCAGAAATTGGTAAGACAGACAAGAAACTAAACGCAACTTTTGTTAATTGAAATTAACTATTAAATGATTCCCCCGTGACCACGGCTGTTGCAAAGGATCCGAAACGTCGGGCCGAAGTTAAAAGTAATCTTCAAATAAGTTTAACTAATATATCACGTTTTAAACCGTTGAAGTGTTTTATTTAAATAATTATCGTTTTGTAAATATAACCCTTACTAAGATCGTATGCAATATTTATATATTTTTTCTTACTTCTAAGTGATCCGCGATGCGTTGGCACGCTTCTTCTAGCTGATTGTCGTCTAAAATTAAGTCGAACATCTCTTGAGGACATTGAGCTAGTTTTTCGGCAGCCACCATTTGGACAGATAGGTTTTTGCTTTGGCCCTTCCCTCGAGATTTTATTAATCGTTGTAATACCTGGAATTAAGATTTGATCCTAAATAAATCGTTATCATGTAGATACGAATATCTACGTTAATTCTATACCTAAAGGCGTTCATACACTGTTGTTTATAATATATGATTGAAGCCAAGATTTTGTTTCAGTGTTGGCATTCGTTTGAATAGAACTTTCTCATAACTAAACTTTTTCCAAAAATGTAAAAAAGATCTTTATATTGGTATATACATATTATAGTAAAATATATACCAAATATTGTTCTCGAGAAACACCTTGTATTTTATATTATATTATTATATATTTTGCTATAAAAATTTTGGAGCCTTACTTTAGGACTAGATATCTTCAGGTACACGATGGTAGGCGCTAGCGAGGTCTTTGCCAGCTGCGACGGATGATTAATTGTGTCACAGTCCAGCACAACCAGCTGTAACGTTCGCGCGAGGTCGAATATTCGCTCTATTTCCGTCTGAAAAATAAATATTCCTTAGTGTTATGCTAAAAGTTAAAAGAAGAAAGGATGCAGCAATAAATCTCCAAACCAAAGCTAATCCACTCATTTCCAGCTCTCCATTTGAGCTACCGTAACACCATCTTTGTTTAACGAATAATTCTTTACAACATGCACCTCTAGCGCAATGCAACTTCGACAATAACACATACGTATTATGGTTAAGTATTTATTAATATATGTCCTCACGTGCATTAAAATATTTAAGTAGATTTAAATAAAACACTTCATCGGTTTAAAATGCGATATATATTAGTTAAACTTATTTGAAAATCATTTTATCTACCCGACGTTTCTATCGATCTACAAGACGGCCGGTGTCTCTGATGTCGAAGTAAATTGTACTAAGCTAGCGCCATCGGTTCCGTCGTAGTGGTGTTTGGCGAAACTGGCCGGGTCGTTGCAGAATTGACTAACTATATAATAAGTTTTATATATATCGCGGTTTAAAGTGGAAAAATGTTTTATTGAAATGTGTAAGACAGTGTTTATGTTTTAGTAGAATTCAGAGTATTCTCAATATTACTTTGTTAGTTGGAAGCGGTCAAACCAACAATGTTAGTATGGGGGTTAAGTAAACCGATTCACACCCACACCCCAACCTGAACTTCAGCCAAGCAATTCATTCTCGAATTGGCTCTATCCATCAAAGGTTTCTTGGGCGGATTATTGAGTAACGACCTCTTCGCTAGTGAGATATCAGCTGTCACTCGAGTGATGATAATTCTGGAAATAGCAAAATATTAGCACCTGTACTTCGGCGAGGCACGTCGATCGAGAGTTGGACCGTTCCATAATCGCTCGTTTAGACGGGTTGTTGAGTAGGGACCGTTTTGCGAGAGAAATGTCAGCCATGACACGCGTTATTATTATCCTGTAACATTAGTCGCACAGATTTATTTATCTATATCTATCTATTTATAGTAATATATAAAGATGAAAAGTTTGTCTGTTTGTATAAACGTGCTAAACTCAGGAACTACTGGTTCGAATTAAAAAAATATGTTTGTGTTGATTTGAGCATTAATCGAGGAAGCATTAAGAGGCATTTTAATTTATTGTTATATTATACATCGCACTGCGACTAATAGGAGAGAAGCAACAGCAGGAAATCCACATTTCCCGCTGTTTCTTCATATAGAAAACGGTGAAAATTATTCATCTTTGTAGGTTACACAAAATATGTATAAAAGAATGATTCCTCTTTAAATGATCTAAAAAAGTCCATAGCATATCTTTCTTTAAGATTAACTGGCAAAAACAACGGGCCACGACCGACGTTGTGGGAAATAGCAGAAATCTATAAACATGAAGTGGTTTGTAAAAACAATATTCGATGCCCAAAATAACTATTCTACGCAGATGAAGTCGCTGACTAACTTCATATAATAAAACTAGGTATTTGATTTATTATATGAAGTTAAATATTTTCGTTAATGTATAATAATAATAAACAAGAGTTAAAGGGTAAGACAATTGTCTTCTATTATTATGTCTTCTTTATATTATATTAATGATCCATTGGTTTTTGTAGTCATCAGTATATATATATATAGCATAGGTAATAATTAAATATCATCAATAATTTTACGGGCGTCCTTTCACTATTGACTATTTGAGCACTTTCTCTAGTCTACAAAAAACTACCTTTAAAATAAAAGGCTCAGATGCTATGGAACTAGGCTCCATCTATACTTAATATATAAAGCTGAAGTGTATGTTTGTTTGTTTGAACGCGCTCCGGCGCTCACGGGTTTGTATTGAAAAATTATTTTTATGTTAGAACATTTATCAAGGACGCTATATATAATACAAGATACAGCGAGACATGTGAAAAAAAAACGGGGAAAATTATTTATCTTTGTTGGTTTTCGATACGTACGATGAGAAAATGGTTTAAGATACACAAAAAATATGTATGAGAGAATGATTCTTCTTGACATTATCAAAAAAAATATCCGCGACAGTATGTCTATCTCTTAATCACTAAGATGAACTCGCATGAACGACGGGAATCGAACGTCGGGGCGCGACCGATGACGTAGGTAATAGTTTTCAAAAACAATTTTGGATGCCCAAAATGACTATTCTACGCGGACGAAGTCGCTGACACAGCTAGTTACTAATATGAAAATACCAAATAATATGGAATGTTAGATAGGAATATAAGGCGTAAAATCAAAAACTGTTTAAAACTTAAAAGGGCAAATCGAGTTTTATACCATACCTTCCTTCAAACCGTCTCTTTAAAAAATCAAAGAGAGCCTTTTGCATCATATCTGTCACTTCATATCCTTTCAGCGAAGGCCCTACAAGGACGACAGGCCTCATCGAAGGCACCACGTCGTAAGGTGTGCAAGCCTCCTGCTTTTTGAAGAATGGCTTCCGTTTCTCTTTTCCAGCTGGTAACGCTCCCGCACCACGACCTCGCCCGGCTGTGTCTGAATCCTCTCCTGCGAACAAGGGGTTGTTGGAAGGGCTTTGCGGATGGTACACATACTATACGACAGGCGTATTGCTTTTAGGTTTTTTGACCTTTTTTATTTACTACATTCATTCACTGTTCCTTCTCTTTAGATATTAGGTTAAGATCTGTATTAGCTACGTGTACATTTATCATCCCTGGAGTGCAATGCATCACTGGGCATGCTTTGGAACCTCTCATTTTAGGGCCTAATTACTCTCAAAACCATGAAGTATACCTACTGCATCACAAGGAACGAGACTTATAAATACAACATTGAGACGGATATTTCTGGGCAACTGACTTCTAATTATACAAATACAAGGCACATAGATAATAGGGCAGATACTCAAAATATGCCTTACATCAGCAACAATTCCTCCCCGAAGAACTTCTAATACATTTATACAAATCTTACAAACTACAGGAAACAATGAAAGGTGGGATGAAGACAGTGAAAAGAAGCCGAACCATTTGATTTGCACAAGACAGACAACACACAATTGGACAGTGACAAATACATTTCCTGGTTGATACGAAATGATCTTACCTCGGTCGTAGGGGTTATCTGAAAACATGAAGAATTTAAGTGCTAGAGAACCAGGAAATAGGCCAGTTTTACGGTATGAGTGAGATTAATGGAAGTACAAAGCAGTTTACTTAATTTTTATGAAGCATATAGAAATGCATAGGCCACAAGTGGTACCATAGTCTTTTGAAGGTTTTTTTTAAATCAATGAGTGAGCAACCTCATTTTTTTTTATATTTCAGTTTTTTTTGTCACATCAGTTTTCTGTACATATTGTTATGTATTTATTATATTCTGATTCTGTACAACTATTTATTAGCTATGACGATTATCGTTTTCCAAGAAAACGTTTAAGTAAGAAAATAATATACAAGACAACATCAAATACAAAAGTAATACGCTTTTAAAAATAATATTTAAATAAAAAATAGATTGCTGAAATTTTTAAGGTATAACTAGAGATACATCCTTAAAAACGATAGTAGACCAAGACACATAACTGCGTTGTACAACGGTCACGAAGTGAAACAAGAATTGTAAATGGATTTTTTTATATCAAGGTATTAAAAAAGTGAAAACAGTTATTTCATTTCGTGAACCAAAAGCAAAATTGAATATGACCCATAAACAAAAATTTTATTTACTTCTTAATAAATAATACAACAAATTCATTGTCTATGGGTAATTGATATTCTTCTATAAATGTGCTCCTTATAACTTTTTGCCATCCATTTCTTAATTGCCCAAGGGTCACTATCCGCAAAAGGTCGTAAGGAGCATCTACACGATAAAGCGTGTCATGTAAATGGTAGCGCGTGACGTACCGGGCGTGGGGGGAGTGCTACCTCGGCTGGGGAGCGTCTGCGAGGGGTGGGGGGCTAGGCCGGATGTGGGGCGCGGATATCTCCCCCCTGGCCGCGAGCCCTGAGCGCACAGCTTCCAACTTCACCGGCGATGGGATGAACCCCACATCAGCATCGACCTCCACTTTCCGTCCGATCCACCAGTTGTTGTCGTATTTCTCCTGAAATTTAATTTTTCACATTCAGTAAACATTCTAAATATGACACAGTTCTGTACAGTTGTGGAACTCTTTAGATTCAGGAAAATAAAGAATATATGTTATTGCACATAACAGTCGACACATGTTTATCATGGGGTTGACATAATATGACCATATTTTCAATAGTTAAAAAAAAATTGACGATGATGGGTGGGGCACGATAGCACAATCGAATAGAGCGACAGCACGGAACGCTGTGATTGCCGATTTCTGTCCTGCCCATATCGTATTTTTTTAATTTAAGACATTTAATTTCTACGTATGAGTTCTGAATATTATTTTATTATTACCTTGATGTGAAGAAAGTCCCTTTCTTTAAACGAGATCGCACTACCGTGCACCGGCGAGTCATCGTCCAGGGTCCCATCATACGCTACGTTTGTGCGGACGGCAAAAGCCACCGGCTTAGACTGGAATCAAGAAATGAATATGATTATAATATATATGATTATGATAAATATTAGTGTATTAAAATCAACCCTTTACAGGTAGATTTTTTTTTATTTTATATAATTAACTACTCTATTCCCAAATACCGGGTCAAAAACATTTCTACAACTGGTTATGATCAATTAAATTAAAAACTCTTTACTCTTAAATCTCCTTTTGAATACAAGAAATTTGATTAGTTTAAACCTCTAATTCAAATTTATAACATACAGATTATGTAACACAGAGATAGAAGTTTTGATCTTGACATTTAGTTATATTGGTCTGGTGGAATTAATCTGAAGGCTTTGAAGCCTTACAACGAAGCCTTAAAAACACCCAACAATCTTGTATAGGTTACCCTTCGCCTACATACTATATAAATAGGAAAGCCAAGGAGTACATCTATATAAAGATGTCAAGAACAAAATCAATATTTTTCTGACGCAGTAAGAGATGGGAATCGACATGAAATAGAAAAAAAATTGAAATCTGTTTTTACATGTGGCACATGATGGCACTAAACAAATTTAAAATCAAATACTGTAATAGTTAAAATATAAAATACTTTAACGGTTTAAAACGCGATATATTAGTTAAACTTAACTTATATTAGTTAAAGTGTTTAATTTAAATTTAAATCGAGTATAAATTGAAAAAGAAAATGAATAGGCTGAAAAAATTCGCTGATGACGTGTAGGACTCGGTAGCTCGATTCATTAGAACAACAGCACGGAACTCTGTGGATGCCGGTTCAAGTCCTGTCTGAGTCGTAATTTTTTTCAATTTATAATCAATTTTTAAATTACGTTAAATTTTCATCCTTGAAAACCTACCCGTGCCTTATCCAGTTGTAACAGGGCTTGTGACTCCTTTTCACGTCTCTGAGCCTCCCTATCTTCGTCCAGCGACAACTCTGAAGACGGTTGGGAATAATTTGAGTCCGCTGACCCCTGAAATCAGAAACGTGCCTCTTTAACGTAATTCCATTTGATTTATATTTCCGTTACGTTTGTATTCATAAAACAGGCTTCTATTTAATTCGACTGTAATTTATTTGAATTATTTTAATATATATGTAATTACACCAGATTTTTGGGATTTCAAATATCTTTTTTGTGTCTTGAATTCGTAACAATTAGTAAGAACGTAATCATAATATTATATATTATTCTTGTGTACAACTTGTATCAACTATGAATGTACTGTAGGAAAACGTACACACGTCATCAGTGCATAGGTTTGCAAATTAAAATCAGAAAGTTGTATTAAAACAGAAAGTACAATTAAATATTGTTTGCAGTTTTAATAGTAAAAATTTAAGTAAAACACTACAGTTTAAAACGCGAGACCTGTCTCCCCGTGACCACGTCTGCTTCAAAGCTTCCGTAGTTAAAATACTTTGTAAACAAGTTTAACAGATATATTTCGCGTTGTAAACCGTTGAAGTGTTTTATTTGAAGAAAGTGGAATTATAATGTGAGGCATATAAAAGCACCACGTAACAGAAAGTATGTGATGTATTCAGTAATTCAGCCATGGGGCAAATAAAAATGTCTTACCAGCGGCTTGTAGTTTTTCATTGGGCGTGCGCGAGCGGTGCCCACTGCATGCAACGCACAAGACAAAAATCAGACACACATGCCCATCGTATTAATAATGCACAAATAAATCTGCAAATAGAATTGCATAAACACATATTACAACATGCAGAGAGGCAGATGTAAAAAAATAATTCTTATCAAAGTATTATTGGTTACAATGTTATTGTTAACCATGCAGGAGTAATGTGGAAGGAAATAATAAAATAGTTGAGTACCCAAGAGACGTGATGACAAAGAAAAGCAAAACTACTTAACCAAAAAGCTACATGAATACATGGCATAAGCGAATGCTAAATCTAAGAAAGCAATAAGATTAGATATTATAAACAAACTAAGAATAAAATATAATAAAAGGAAAGCAGTTGCAATCAACTGAGTAGCATTTGTGCCCGATGACAGCAAACTACAAAGGGTTGAATGACAAAACATGTGGCGTAGCTTATGCGTAAAATTTGTTTTAAAAGCTGGGGTAACTTAAACTATATTATTTTTTTAAGAATTTAAACCTTAATAAGCACAATATAAAAATATCGATATATGATATGGTTTAAATACAGAATGTGACAGTTCAGCGTTTTTTAATAATAACGTCGACGGGTTATTATTTTATAAAAGTATTAACGTAACAATCTTAATAGCAACACAGGCACAGATACAGGCATCAATGTAGCCAAAAGATTAACATTTTCAGCATTACTTGACATGTAGAATTTGGTACTGGTCAGAGCTGAATTTAGTTAACGGCGGAGAGGCGGCGATCGAAGCAATGACGTAATTTTATATACACATTCATTCTATTGTGAATTCCACTCTTATTACTAATTCCGATTAATCTTATAAATCGGAAGTTAAACTAAATTCTTTAGCAGAAGGATAACAAAGTTGACCGTCAACTTAGGTGAGTTCTCTGAAAATTGGTTAAAAGCTTTCAAATTCGTAGTAATTTATAAGCTGAGGAGAGTAGTCTATGACGTGCTTATTAAAACAATATTAGTGTTAAACCCACGGGTTTGATAAACACCTACTTCTATAAAACCAGTATAAACAATGTATAATGTTTGCTCACATGAAGCACTTACGTGTACTTTGTTAATTTTATAAATAGAACGGGACAATCTGGGTTCAATTTAAAGCTGTTCTGAGCAGATTTTAGGTTTCTAGTTCTTTCTTCCAAGGTACGAACGAACGAACTAAATGCGCGATCGCATTTATTATGGTTTTCAATTACTAATAACGACTTTAATATTTTGTTAAAATTAACACCAAAGTTACAATTAACGGGCGAAGATAAATACTTCAAATAAAGATGATTTGATGTTCATTATATCTAAATATTATGAACATCTCTTTATTATTGTCTAGCATTCAATGATTTACTTGATTCTACTTCATACTAGATCATAAACAATGTTTGTGTCAGACAGAGCTTATAAAAGAAGGGGGTATGATACAGCCCTGTAGCACTCCATGTTTTATGTAGAATTAAGGTTGGTTAAAAATGTCTGTAACATTATAACTGTATGAACCAGTATAGAACCTGTTTAATAATATACAATGTACTCTGGTTTAGTTAGAGTGGCGTATTGAGATTAGATTAATTGCATAGTAACCGTATTCATAGTACATGTACATATGTACATGCAACATTTCAAGTTGTTTCTAAAGAAATTCTAATATTAATAGAAAAAAAGAGAAAATTACATCAGTGAAATGAAATAACAAAATGGAAATGCCTCGAAGAACTACAATCATTTATTTTTAGTCTTCACTGAGTTTAACGATGGTGTACTGACAGAAACCAGACTAAATAAGTGCAAGCTCGGTAAGAAACAGTAAAATCTAAACATTAATTCCTATAGGCATTAGTTTGGATGATAGAGATGGTAATTAAAAATAAATTGAATCTGCGGTAAGTGTTGATAATTGCAATTGGATTGGAATTCACTGGTCTATTTAAGTATAGAAATTGCGCATTAATAGAACAGCACTTTCGATAAGGATAAAACATATGTTGATAGTGACAGCGGTTGGATAAGTCCCTGGACAAACAATTTAATTATCTTTAATAATAATCCTGAACTCACAGCATATGGTTCGTAGCTTGGTACCTAAGACAGATAAGAGAGACTCACAGCTGGCTTGGAATGCCTTTCATCTACCTTGCACTAGCCAACAGTCATATGACATTACCGAGACCCATTAAGAACCTCCAAACACGACTGAAGCCCATGTTCCGTCACATCACTATCGCGTCACTATTGAATAAAAATACGCCAGCTGCGCACGCACCTGAGCGAACAATTTGTTGTAACCGTGCCCTTGACTGTTGTAACCCATCATATTACGGCATGGTGGCTGGAGATGGTGGCCGCTTTGGACCACCAGCGGGATTCCGTCGTGGTCGGCCGTTGTGGGCACGCATTGGCCGCGCCGTCACCCCGACGGCCGCGCGAATACACACGAACTAGCGGGACTCGGGACGTTGGCACAGCAGTTCCCCGGAGCCTTCGCCCCGCACCCGGTCGGGTGAATGAGGTGCGCGCGCACCGTTAGCTTTCGCAACAGGGTAAATATTAGCGGGACTTCAATAAACATGTGTTTATAGGTAATGTAAATATTTTTAATTCATCGAAACTATCAGCTGCTGTTCTATTTTAATGGCGCTCATGTTAATTGAATAAAACGCTTCAATACACGTTTTTGTCTAGACAGGAACGTCGTTTGGAAGGACCAATATATCAATTTATTTTGTAGGTCCGTCTTTTATTTTCACACAACTGCTGAACTGCTACATAGTTTTAGATAGAGTTATTTTACCCATTAATTTACTTAATTTGAAATTAAGAAATTTATTTCAACAGGATTAGAATTTCATTCTATTTTTAACTGCAAACCTTTTTTCAGTCTACCCACGTAAAATAACACATGAGAAGCAGGAATTTCCTAAATGCAGTAGAGTTATTGTGGATCTTGTTGTTGAACTAATAAAGTAAGGATCTGCTTAAATCCGTAGCGCATGCGCAACTCCTGGATCGATGGAACGTTGACCCAATTGTGACGACACACTTAGCGTCATGTGTACGCTGTGTCTAGACAACAGTCTATAAACTACTGGACATGATACTGTTAGGGACTTTTAAAGTTATGAATACAAAAAATCACAAGGCCATCAATGACAAAAATTAACGAAATAAATATTCCTATAATCGAAAAAATCGGGCTTCTAGAGAAATCCAGCCAACAAAACCGATCTTACTAATATTTTAAGTAGATAGATTTGTATTATTGTGTATTTGTTCTTTATAGATAAGCTCACAATCTCTGTGTCGATTAAAGAACTACGCGCCAAGACCTACTTACACTTCATAAAATTATACACTCTCATATTGACTGCCCTTCTCTTGTTTCTCTCCTTTCCTTAAATACAAGACCCAACCCTAGACATCCGATGGCCTTTCAACTAAAAACGTTTAAGAACAACACCTCTTTTTTCAATCCTATTGTTCGCATGTGTAGACTATATAACGAGTACTCTTCACGCAGTTCTTGCCAGTTGGACGTTTTCAACAGTAACACATCTAATTTTTGTAAAAAAATAAACGAAACCATTTAATTTAGGAATTAGTAGTAACTAAATAAAAAAAACAAAAAAATTCATACAAAAATGATGTTACCGTAAGACAACATTTATGACATAATTTTTACTTATTTTAATTACATAATAACCTATACATTATTTTTGATAACAGTACGATTTAGTTTCTCCGTGTACGCATGTAATTGAGATACAAACTTAATTTATCACATTTTTTTTTTAAGACTTATTGTTTATAACTGTTTGTGTTTTGTTTGTGTACCTTATGAATAAATAAATAAAAAATAAATAATAAAAGAAGATCTTTTACTACGAAGCGTACTAACCAATATTGTATTTTTTTACTATTTCAAATGCAATTGATTTGGACATAAAATAATTTGGAAATTGTTTATTTAGAAAAACAACGTTTGCCAGGTCAGCTAGTAATTAATGAAACCACAAAATTCCATTTATTGCCTAGAGGCCCATTTTATTGTTATTCCATTGTAGATATTTCAACCATCAAACTATTTACCTTTCATTCATGTACTACCAAATTATACCTCATGTATTTGATGTACTATTTAGTAACAAACAGACAGACACTTCCCGCTTTTAGGTACGGATTACGGAGCCCTAAAAATTACAGCCATGCTAAATGTAATTCAAGAATGAGTCATCAAATCACCATACAAAGCGTATATCTCATGGTTCATAAACAAATTCCAGGATGACTTCAACCCACATCAATAGATGTGACACCAATTTCAGTAATGGGTGATTGTGAAGTAGGAAATAGTCAATATAAAACCTTGACAATGACAACTGTCGATGCATTTTGCCGACTGACTGGCGTACATCCAACAGAATTCTTACCCAAGAAGCGTACAATGCCCAAACTGATCGAGATTGACATAAAATATGAGGAATTTTTTATATTTCAATATGTCAAATATTTATTGACTAATTTGAATAGATCTACCCACGTTGTTGTTGGACAAAGGTACGCTAATTTTTAATTCATTAACACAGTTAACAAAGTGCGATTAAATAAAAATGAAAAAATATTTTGTTTATTTTATTGCTTTAAGGATTTTTTCTCATTAGATTATATTAATAATGTTTATACCAATAAAAAATTAAAAATATTATCAAGGTACAATTAAGGCGGAAGTGATGTAAAAACGGACTAATTGATAACAAGCCCTTTTAAAGGTTGCACTGAAATACATGTAGCCGCCCTAAAAATATGTCTAATTCTACCTACCCGCCTTTTCCGGAGGCCATACCGCTGCCTCTTAAAGTGGTCCATCTTTAAAGCTTTCGTCATAATGTTAACATATCACTGATTACACTGAACAATCACTTCCACACGTCCGATGCACGCGCAGGCTGGCAGCTTCTCGCTAAATCCCGAAATAGATGTCCGTCTGCTTATTCACCGTAGAGATTATATCGACGTGAACGTACAGATTGAAAACCTATCTTTCTTGTCAGGCTAAAAGTATAAACTGCCTTATTTACGTTTTTATTACCGACAATGCTTTCTAATTTTGTTTTTATGGGTTGATTTGTGCCACTTTGCTGGGAAACAACAATAGCTGAATGCTACAATTTTCCTTGCATTCGTTTTAAATAAATAGGTCTATTGTCAGTCTAGCCTAACAACTTCAAATACTTGTAGAAAATAATCTACGACTCTAATGGTATTAAAAAAATAATAACAGTTGAGAGAATTGTGTCAGTAACAGAATTAACGAAACAAAAGATTAAAGACTATGTTCTCTCTAATCGTTATTATTCCATAAGTTATCGATCGCTTACGCTATTAAGTATGTACCTATAGTGGTCGAATTAATATGATAATATTTTGGATAACTTACAAATTTAAAAAACAAAGGTTAAATAAGGAATCGTCGCGTATTTATGTATTATTTTGTGAAAAAGATACGAAGAAGAACCGATAATACAAATAAGGTGGTCAATAGGAAATTTCCTGTACGTAAAAAGTAACCTCTGTTTTGTCATACTCTATTAGAATTTCTATATTATGTTATATTTATTAATTTTTGATCGTATTTTATTTGTGGTATTAGTTTGTAAGTTTTTATAAAGGAAAAAAATATAAAGTTTCAAAAATGTAATACTTTTATATAATTGATTCTACTGCCACCTAGGTGAAATTGAGTAAACTATAAAACTTTATTAGAAACGCTATACACGAACTGTAGGCGGTTAAGCGATCGTAAAATCGTTCATCAAAAGGCCGCTAGAGGGCATTTAATAAATATATATTGTTAACGTAAGATGTCGCTTTTGTCGCTGTATCATTACGTTATTAATTAATACAACATGAATTCAAAAATAAGAAACATGAAATGTATTTAATTTATTATTACCTAATGTTTAGTAATTATTTGATACATTTTACAATTATATTATGAAAAGAAGTAAATAAAAATTCCCAAATAATTTTATATCGCTTCGGCTTCATATGAAAATAATATAAAATGTTAATATTAAAATATTCATGTTAACATAATTAATGTTAAATGATATTGTTATGTCTATTGCTAAATTTATAAAATACTTATTAAGCCTTTTACATGAAACTATACAATAGCGCAATTACAATTTTGGTTTTGCCAAGTTTTACTATTGCGTTATATACCTATGCGTATACAAAAGTAATATAAAAAAATCATCGTTAATATTTGTTCACCTAATCTTTCTACTATAACTACTATGAAATTGATAAAATAGATAATAGAAATCACAGAACACGTTGTTCCTGGAATCGAGCCAACGAAAACCCTTGTTATATCAATGATATTTCATTCATTACTGTCCCGAGGATTTGTTCAAATGAGTATTTTCGGCGGCATACTTTTCTAGTGAGACACTATTTCTTAACTCCACGGCAAGACACGTGGTAACTGCAACTTGATTTAAATCATAAAGATATATCCACAACAAAGAAATAATGTAAGTACTTAGTAAACTTGATTAATCATTACGTAACTATATAAAAGAAATGTATATATTTTTAACTACTGACATTGATAAGACTTTTTTATTTATTAATATTTTAAAAGCGTATTTATTGCACGGAACACGGTAGTTTAATTACTTAAAGATACAGCACAGAACGTTGTGGATGCCGGTTCAAGAACAGTATCGTACATTTCTATCTAAAATTGATTTTATTTATATAATGCCAATAAGAAGCTTTTAAGAGGAATTATTATATAATTTTCGTGGAAAGAGTGAAGACCAGCACAAAATGGGTTCCATGGGACTATTTCTGTCAAATCTTATATTTGTCTACCCTTTAGGTATAGAGATTTAGGTATATTTATTACAAAAATATTACGGATTTATATTTTAGATAGGATTATATATATTAAGTAAATACGTATATTAGAGGTACATTAGTGAGTATTTTAGCATTGCAATTGTGCTGACTAATACAAAAAGTACGTGTCTACATAGCATTTGTAATGCAACAAGATTTGTCTCTTTTAATGTCCGTTTACTTTATCTATTCTATTTTATTTGCACTGTGTCTCATTATTTATAAATTATTAACTCAGACTATAAATTGCTTTCATTATTACTGTATACGCTTATAATGATTACTGAAATAGATACAGTGTCGTTCACCCGGCGACGTCTAACTTGGGATGCAATTTAAGCACTTACGACTGATATGTCCCTTACGTGCTCGGTGACATTTTCACAGCTTGATAACTAAGACGTGTAGCCTCGTGATAAAGTGGAAAATGGGATACGTTTAGAATGAAATCAATACAATCCAACAATATCAATACTATTTTGCGACTTACGCCCGTTCGATGTTATATTACAAAAATACTGAACTTTTAATGGGGTCCTTGGTCTAATGGTAGCTAAGTAATTACTTTAATTAGACTTCTCATTCAAATATTCAATGTGGGTAGGAATATCGAAATTCCACCCGGCTCACGAACCACTGTCGACAGATGAAAACCTCGTGAACTTTAATCGCGTTTTGATGTAGTATTATTTTTGTGGATTTCCGAATATCCAAAGCAGGTAGACAGCCCATCTGACTTCCACAGAAATAATATAAATATATTATTATTTTAATGGCACTCAGGATACTTGCGATTGTATGAACATTTTCTTAATAAATCTTTACCTAATCTAACTATATTAACTAATCTAGATAGGCACAAAAGTGTGTTAAAGCCTAGGAGTAAAACGAACTTCTGAGAAAAACGAAACATCTAGAGGAAAAGAAGCGAAACGCGATGTCTGAATGTATTATCTAAAAGCGTGTGAAACGAATTGTCACCGTCCGAGAGCACTTACTCAACACACGTACTGTGTCGCATAGACTGTAAGGAGAGCTGAAGAGGGAGACCGGGGCACCGCGCCTGCTATTTCCGTTGCAATAACAGTACCCATGGTATTTTTATTACGACCGACCGCTTTATTTCAGTTACAATTTGACAAAATAAAAATAAGGGCCGCGCGTGCCCGTAATGTGACACTGCTCTAGTGTTGTATTATACTACTATCGATGATTTATAAATACTCTGAATTAAGAATAATTCACTTACCTAAATAAGCATATATTATTTATATGGTTTATAATAATAAGTATTTAAATAAAACACTTTAACGGTTTAAAACGCGATATATTAGTGAAACTTATTTAGAAATGATTTTTAACTTCGGCCCGACGTTTCGGATGCTTTGCAGCAGCCGTGGTCACGGGGAGACTGACGGCGAATAAGAGCAACATTAAAACAAAAACAGGGTAAAATGTTTCTTGAATTAAATGAGTATTTTTTTAATTTTTTCACGGTCTTATAAATTTACAAAGAAATATTAGTCAGGCCTTTTTTCAATGATAATATGATAACAAGCATAAATACCTACACAGACGTGTTTTAATCATACATATCTGCTGCTATAACGCGTATTCTATCGATACTTTCCGAATTGTTTCGGACCATCCCTAATCGCATAGATACTTACAATCTGTCGCATCCATCGACGTCTTTCTGTACGCGGCTAGAGGATATCTCTTATGCGAGCGTCAATGTACAGTTGAAGAAATAGAACTTAGTGATGTTTTTAATGAGAGTGCATTCACCTCGGAATATTTAAATAAGTGCGTTTCGGGAAATAGGGACATGCGACGTTTCCGTGTTCTTAAGACACTTCGTGGACGTAAAAGGGTATCGGGTATTTTGAGATCGGCAGCTAATTAAGAGGAGGTTCAGTGTTTGGTGCTAACGTTTCAGTGTGCTTTATGGCTTAACGAATAATTCTTCAGTACTAAGACTGATCGACATGAGATCTTACTTTGATCGTTTACTGCTAGTAGGTATATGCGGGGTGCTAAAATAAACAAACCGTTGTGGTTAATTAAGTTTATGCGAGTAATACACATTTAAAAAAAATCTTTAACCGATTAAAACGTGAAATGTATTAGTTAACTTGTTTTTTATTTATTTTAACTACGGCCCGAAATTTCGAAGGCTTTGCAGAGGTCGTGGTCGCGGAAGATTGAATATGGAGAGGGTTGCTGTAGTTAAAAGCAAAAATAAGTTACAATTAACGGCTTGTCGTCATACTAAAGAACGGAAAACCACGCAGACCTGATGCGAACAAAAATATATATAAATAAAACACTTTAACGGTTCAAAACGTCAATTTTAAGTTAAACTTGTGTGCAAATTATTTGAAACCGGGAGATGTGTACAGTATTACACGCGTAAACTTCAGACAATAAATAATGTTTTTTTTATGATAGAGAAGGACAGATAAGCATGCTGCACTTGATAGTAATTTCACCTACCAGCCCTAGCCTATAGCATCTAAACAAGATGTGTTGTCGACCTATTCTGGCTTTAGATATAATTAGTAAATAATTGATCGCCTGAACAAGAAGTCTAATAAACTACTTGTCTAATAAAATGTCTCAAGTCAGGAAAATGGAAATTTTCATACTTTTAGAAAATAGAGTTATTTAAAAGAAATACTTCTTTATCATCACCGTAACCGTTAAGTCATCTGACACTTGCGACTATATGTTCACGCAATGCGTATCCCCTGAAACATAAATATAACACCTGTCTAGCTGTCAAAACTTTAACTACCCTCGTTGGGGGAAATTTGACTAAGGGGTTTGTATATGTGCGTTTGGCTTTTTAAGCTAAAGAAGGGTTCTACATTGTTAAAGAATTATTTATGATTGAAAGACGACCTGTACACAACTTGGGTTTTATAATAAACGATAAGAGAGTATGATATATTATGTTAAGATTATTTATGATGATTCAAAATCAATTTTAATTTGCAAGAATTCAATGGGGGGGGACTCGAATCCACGACCGCGACGTGATCGTTCTTAATCTTCAACTAAATTTTGAAATATATGTAAATGTATGGTTCGAAGTTTAATGATTTTATACATACCGTAACAATATAATGTTGTTTAATTATAATTAAGTATAAGTACATTTAAACTTTGACATTAGGGACACCCCTCTTTTTATTTCCCGTGACCACACCTGCTGCAAAGCATTGGAAACGTCAAACCGTAGTTAAATTAAAGTTTAATTCACGTTTAAAAGTGTTTTATTTAAAAGTAAACTTCCAATACAAAATTTTATCAGCGTCATGTGTGTTAAAAAAGCAAGTTCAGGTTAAAATTTGCACCCAAACAAAAATTACTTACTACGAGTACTATCACAGATAAGTTTAAAACATAAGAAATTAGCGAAATGACTTAATTAGTTAACAGATAGTCCAGTAATAATAATTTATACAAGATAGCGTTCACGCAGCAGAAGGCAAAGTTATTTTAACTTATTTCCTCCGGATAATTGGAAGCCAGCAAAACCAAAAGTGTACACTGAGTCATGTTATTTCATCCTCGCATCGTTCGCATGTCTAGCGGTATTATTTGTTAAAGTTAGTTCTTAGTAAAAAGAGTGAGAGTTTTATAGGGAAAGTGATTGTCAAATTTCAAGACACATTTTAAAAGGAATGATTTCCTTCTTCCTTTCTTATATGGGCATTGGTAACAGATCAGTATAGTAAAAATCAGTCACAGTGTAATCGTGTGTAAGTTTTGTGTGAATATTTTTAAGATTGTATATTTTCTTTCCCTTCTATCACCTTGGGTTACCTGGAAGAGATCGCTTCCTAGCGATAAGGCTGACCATCGCACTCGAAATTTTTTAATCATTTGTATTTTTGTTCTTCTCTTTTGTGTGTGTTAATAAATAAATTATAAATATAAAACATGAAAGAAGGAATACGGAGACAAATGTGTGCTTTGTGTGGTTATAAAGAATTGTTTTCTATTTCGGATTATTATTTAAACTTTACAGGACTTTTCCGATTAAACTTTTCCGTTTATATCATTGTTGAAGAATAGTCTATAAATGAGGGGTGTTAAGCAATAAAGGTAACCAGCAGGTGAGACCAGATATCTGTTTCACGCACTCCATGAAGTTGTATAACTCAACAACAGACACGCGCCATGCTTTACAGTAGCGGGACAGTAACTGGTACAGTTCAAAAGTAATACATTCTCGAGTTATAAAAAAAACAATGATATGTATCTGATAATGACATTACATTGTAAGGATTCACAAACGATCGAGAGTTCGAGTCTCGGATACGTCTTAAATTATTATGCTTCTTCTTTTAATATGATTTTTAATAAATAAAAACCCATGGAAATAGTAAATACTATAATGATATTGCATAAACCTGTTCAAATAATAAATATTATATTGGACAACAAGTATTTATTTGTCTACAAGACGAGAAGAACCCTTATTGTGTGTGAGTGGAGCTGGTATGTTTAATGTCAAAAATTATCGCTTTCTGACGAATCTGCTAGACTTTTTCCTCTGTCAAAAACAATTCCTCTGCTGAAAGCCATAAGCGTTTGTTTTTAAGTAAGAATAAAAGTACGTTTGCAATACATAATGTCATTAATTCGTAATCAATATTTTATTTCACTTAATCCTGATAGTTACTGTATCAAGAACATACGATAAACGGAGCATAGCGCGAAGAAGGCACAAAGTTGAGCAATTAAAGCTTTGCACGCGAGGTGCCGACGTCGCCACCCCTGCTGTCCTGTGCCACGCACTAAGTGCTAACTGTGTATTGATTAGGATTTTAACACGGGATTTCGTGTAGTTCTGATAACAAAAAGTAACCGTGAAGAATATTTATAATTTTCACTTTCAATGATAGAGGAGTCAGGAGACAAGGACTGGGCTCATTAAATGGAATCTGAAATACCCCGGCCATATAAGATCTAAACAAGATGTCGACATTATTTGGCTTTAGATATTTGGAAATCCTCAGATTTCCGAAACGCGATTAAACTTCACTGCTATATTGTTGACCGGGGTTCGTGAATTATGATATTATTATGAAAAATATTACAAACTGACTAGACTCGACAAATCCTACAAAGACGGTAGTACGTTTGAGCCGCAAGTCATTCATGAACATACATACGTTCACATCTGTATGTAAATATATATATACATACATATATACAGAAAAATTCCAACTCGAAGAACGTCACAGTTTTATGTGTGTTGTTTGCGTTTCTTTCATTATTTGTATTTGTCAGAATAGCATATAGACAGTTACTCAGCATATACGATTTCTAATATAAATTGTGTCTACACTGGAAAGACGGTAAACGTGATTCAGCGTCGTTACTACAGATTAGTGTGACTAAAATAAAACTTGTCTCTGTACGCATTACAAGCACAAATGAAGAAATATGTATACATTTTCGCATCGAATTCTGACTAAACTCTGTGTCTAAATACCAGCAGCGACGTCAGCAAGTCCGTTTTTTGGCCATGGGGCCAACACATTTCTGGGATACAACAACGATCGAATTCTACTACTACTACTACTCTACTTCTCCCTGGACGATGAGCCCTTCCATCGATGAATTGTTACGCCTAGAAACTTCACCAAGAAAAGTCAGTATACGAGATTTTACTGTGAAAAATAGGCTGCTTGGTGCCGAGTTGCTGCAAGTTATTCGTGGTCCATGATCAGAGCATTTACCGCGTCTTTCTTTCTCGTTATTTCTCTCGGAGTCCAAATCTTTAGCGTACAGAAATAGAAAAAGCTAGTGTTTGCACGAGTCAAACTTTCTTGCCCTCGGTAATGTTTCTGTTCGCTATGGTGTGTTTTAATCATATTCCCTAAGTTTTGCTCCTTAATATTTGATAATTATAAAACGTTTACATTAACTATACGAAACAATAATTAAACGCTATCAAACAGCCTGTGCCTTCCCTTTAAACAATTTCGGTAGTCGCGCGCCTCAAGAGTTGCGACATTATCACTACGGCGCCAACTGAACCCAAACTAAATTAACGTTACACTAAAAATACATTAAATACGCAATACGTGTTATTCCAGAATAGAGAAATAGAGTAAAAAGTGTGAAAATATATCGTTCAACGGTCTCGTGAATAATCTCGGAGATAAACTTCACTGAGACATAAAACTATGTGATTTCGCCGTCGTTTACGAAGATAAAGGGTGGAATTGAATTGGATATGGTATTTTAGTGGATACTGTACTGATTATGGATTTAGCAGTTACCACTACAGATCTACACGAAAAAAGTTAGCACTCGATATATATTAGGCTTCAGCCTGACGATAAAAGTAGTTTTTGGCCGAATCTTTGGATACCTGCAGCCGAAGCTGGGGACTGTATTGTTGGTGAAGGTGAGTACATGCACAAAAATCGGCCTGGCGAATAATGTATACCAAATCTAGTAAAATCCGATGTCTACAAGTGATTTATATTTAAATAAATTATATGTAACAAATGACTTAACGTTTTAAAACGTTTCTAAGGTAAAAATCTATTAGTCATAACTTTTTAGTGTTACCGCAAAGTTTCCTTTGAATGTAATTAAAAATTAATTAATATACCTATCACTAGTGTAAGCTGTAGACAATAATCACATACATTTCAAAATGTAAGTGACGTAGGCAGCTTATGAAGTGTGAATACGTAATGTATGTAAAGTAGAGATTACCACCTCCATCAATTAGGCATCTCGTCGACAAGTGCATCCCACCCACACTCATTTAGTATTATTTTCGTTGGCGACGGTATTGCCACACGGTGAAATATGCCCGGCTATCCACTTACCCGAATGTCCACTATTTATTGAGATTACAAACTTGCTGCGATTCATGTTAATATTATTGATACATTAGCCATATTAACATTTTGAAACACGATGTTTGAGACTGAAGTTCTTATCGATGAAATTATAGATGGAGTTAGTAGTATTTGGGACGCATATCATACTCTTAAAATATATTTCATTTAAATACTGTCTATAGTTTACGCGAGTAGTACACATTTAAATAAAACACTTTAACGGTTTAAAACGGGATATATTAGTTAAACTTAATCGAAAATGATTTTTAACTTCGTCTCCCCGTGACCACGGCTGTTGCAAAGCATCCGAAACGTCGGGCCGAAGTTAAAAAGAAGTTTAACTAATATATCGCCTTTTAAACCGTTAAAGTGTTTTATTTAAATATATATTTTATTTAGCAATTTGTACGTGTAACCATCTCCTCGTATGCGGGGTAGGAGTTTGATCCCCAATCTTGCAACAAATTGAAGGTCTTTGTGTACTTTGTATACGTGCTCTCCAATAACGCAAAGAATTGTAGAGAAACCGGTATGCCCTAAAATAAAAAAAATACATGCTTAATTTAGTAATACGAATTTGGCAAGTGTGGCAGACTCTTTTCGGACTAGTATTAGTCCCAGCCGTGGGAACTTTTAAAGCTAACACGCAGCAGTTACAAAAAAAGCTTTATATCCAAAGTCTTCTGAGGATACATAGTAGCTATTTCTGTATTATCTAAAAACATTTCTTAAAAACAAGTTTTAATTAAATAGAGAGTCGTATTACCCATACCGTTTAATCTATTGTTTTACTATGAATAGACATAATCACGCGTAGGGGACTTACTAAACAACGAAATAAGAGAATTTGTTCATACTTTTTTATTTATAAGTAGATCTACATCTTGGCATGCGCGAGAGTCATCGTGCATCCGGCGTAGAGCCGTTTAAACCAACTGGTCTTACTGACTCATTACTCTTTCACTGTAATTATAGTATGTACTCATTATATAGAATTTACGAAGGCTATTAAATATTTTTTGTATTAAAAAAGTTAACTACAACGACTATATATACAGAATACACTTAAGCTCTAATTATAAGCAACTAAGAAACATTTTGAAGCCTAATACTGTCTATAGTTTACGCGAGTAGTACACATTTAAATCATGAGTCTCCCCGTGACCACGGCTGCTGCAAAGCATCCGAAACGTCGGGCCAAAGTTAAAAATCATTTTCAAATAAGTTTAACTAATATATCGCGTTTTAAACCGTTATAGTGTTTTATTTAAATTTTGAAGCATAATAGGCTTCAAGACTATGAAAATTTTATTTTTTATGATGATATAAATAAAATCTATTTAAACTAAAAAATATTAAGGACATGACGGGGATCGTTAAATAAACGAGAATACTTTAAGTACAACATAATATATATATTTTCCAATATACTAAGAAGTTTCTCTTCATTGAGTTCATAATGTGTACCTATTGTTTTTTTTTACTCTGTTCGTTTTAGTTAGCCTAGATGTTGAATAACAAATTAAAAAACTATTATAGTTTATAATGATTTAACTATGACCATGGTGAGACCCCCATGTTTGAACCGATAAGTGTTTTATTTCATTTTGTAAGCATCCAAGCTTACTTTTTTAATTATATGTCTCCTATGTCTTTTATTGTTAAAAATAGCATAAATTCGAAATTCATCTATATTTCAATGTATTTAGTTTACGATTTAGTCCTAAGTGTAGGCTATGATTTATTTATTATATAAGTATGGTTTGTGCTAATTCACAATTAAACTGTCTAATATTTTAAAATCTATATTTAATTGCACATAGAAATATACAAAAATGCCCATAAAATTGATAGTAAAGGTTACTCATAAACAATAAATAACAGAATAACGGTTCCCAGACGACACATTGAAAATAATACTTCTAATCTCATTGCGAAGGCATCTCATTCCACATAACGGCAAAACTATTTGGAATTTATATGCAGTGCAGTATAATAACAACAGTAGCGACATTAAAATTAATTCAAATACGAATTACGACTGCGCATACAAACAAACAACCTTTCATAAACGGCACATTATTTGTCTCAATAGAATTGTTGTCAAACGTTTTTTATCTGCTTAAATATGTGTTGTATTTTAATATCCCAACTGATCGAATCAGTCTGTGTAAATCTAAGTAAGGTCAAACTGGCGGAGACATTACTCGTCTGCTCGTTACCGGTTGTACGAGTGTCGCAACATACTTTGTTTTTAATTTTATCCAAACTCGACTAATAATGACGCGATCAATAAAGTGATAAAGCCATTAAATGTTTTATGTATTCATGTATGTGGGAACGTTAAATTATATTGAAGTTACACCATCCTTACAAGTTAAGCCATTCAAATTTCCAAGTACTTAATTTTTATATAGCTTACGGAAAAAATAAAGAGAACAGTTATTTCTTTACTCGTGTATGTTTCCTCGAGTGTTCTAGAAAAAAACTAAACATAATCTTCCATTATTTGAGGCCTAACTGCTAAGTTTATTTTGTGACTTGAGTTATTTATATTTTCATAGTCTAAAAACGTTAAGTCTAAAAAGCAGACCGAAAATTGGTAACATAATTCTTACACACGTATAAATTTCATTTTCGTCTAATTTAATAGTGCGTTTTTATTTTCCTTCAATGGAAACCCATGTTTTTTCTTATTAGGCCACTCTGCCTCTAGCGGCATCACATCTTTCTCACTATAACTTATATATCATTATAATTTTATGTAGTTATTCTTTTCAATACACGTATTAAATCGATTCTCTGTACTTAAAAGTTGTTCACACGAATCTAAAAGATTAAGCAACACAATTTGAGTCACCGAAACCGGTGAGACATTAAATATTGTTATTTTCATCCGGAATCTTTGGGTAATGAGTAATGAGAAGTTACGCAACTATATGTAGATTCAAGATGCGCCGGAGTTTCGCTTTCTATTTCTGTCTACTAAAGCTAGCTAATCTGACTGCCTTCGTGGCTTAATGCAAGCGAGGTCCTGGATTCACATCATGGGGATCAACTAGTAGCCCGAAAACCGAATCAGTCGTAAGATATTAAATACCCGGCAAACGTTGTTCTGTTGTTTGCAAAATTAATATTATTATATTGATATATTCATACAAATACTGTCTATAGTTTACGCGAGTAGTACACGACTTAACGAAAAAAAACATTGGTAGAAATTACTGCATTATTACCAATTATTGGTAAAGTTGTATGGACATTTAAATAAAACACTTTAACGGTACTTAACATTTAAATACCTTATTACTTTAAAAAACGCGATATATTAGTTAAACTTTATTTGGAAATGATTTTTAACTTCATCCCGACATTTCGAATGCTAACCCCCAAAGTTAAAAAACATTTTCATCAGTAATTTCTACCAAATTAGATTACCATAAAACGGTTTTTGCAAGTCAATTGTTAAGAAATAGACATAGGTATAGTGTCGCGGACATATTTTTAGATCATTCAAAGAGGAATCGTTCGTTCGATGTTTTGCTTTGGTTTCCTAAACCGTTATCCTCTTCGAGATGAATATTTACCGCCCTTTATTCAACATTTCTTACTGGTTTTTCGCTTATATTGATAGCAGTTGTATATATATATATATATATATATAGCGTAAAGCCTCGATAACTGGTCTATCCAACAGTAAAAGAAAAAAATATTTTTTCAATTAGTTTCTTTAACCTCCCCCCATGGAGAGGATGTGGACTGTGGAGTAACCATCAAGCGAAATACTATGGAGTTGAACTCGCCGCTGTTATAGTACAAAGTTTTTTTGCTATAGCAAGAAGGGGCTAGCATTGTGATTATAAAT